GCGACTCCTGAGTGTTTTGGTGGCGGCTTTTGACCGAGGAGGCTGGCGAGCTCGAGCGAACACGAATAATCAATCACGTCAGGTTTTGCATTACAATTACCCGCCACCCACGCTTCTTAATCGCTTACACGCGAGGCAGAATTCGATACCGGCCGACGACGAAAGGCCCCTCTTAACAAAATCGATCGACCTTAGTCGAAGCATTTGGCAAAAGAAGCGGGCTATCGATTTTGCCGAGAGTTCTCGGGGATGCACTGAAACGACGAGAGCAAAGGGCAGGGGTCTTCTTAGCCGCTAGTCATGGAGAACCACGGGCCGTCGGCGGAGAAAAAGTTCTTCTCCCTCTAGGGTGGCGCGTTAAGCGCCAAGACGCGTGATGAATTATGTCGAGAAAGAGAGGGAGAGAGAAAGAGAGAGAGAGAGAGATATCGAGAGAGCGGGCGAGATTCGATTTGAAAAACAAACCAAAATCAGCCTCCGGACTCTCGACCGGCTTTCGATCATTTTTCAACTTTGACTCGCGAAGAATGAAACATTGGGCTAGAATAATAGGAAATCTCCCGCCGGTTATCCGAATGAAAGACACTCACCGTTGGCCTATAAAAGATCAGCGAGATGAGTGGAGGGGAGGACGGGCGAGTAGCGTGCGGCACTCGAAGTCAGGTTTAATTTTCTGTATAATTCGCTAAATGGTGCCGGATGACAGCGGAGCTCGTTATCCCCATGGCGCTATCCTGAGCATTTTGAACTTAAGGGAAGATTACCCCGAGACAAGTTATCGAGACCAGCGCGCCGTCTTCACCAGGAAGACCTCGTCCATAATCAACTCGGTCGGCGCTTTCAAGAATTTAATAGTCCTTAATTTAGGTGACTCTCCCTCTCCCACCCTCCCCTCTCTCTCTCTCTCTCTCTCTCTCTCTCTCTCTGTCTCTCTCCCTGCAGCTCTAAGCTTATAATGATGATCTCCAAGTTATCGGACCCTCTTCAAAGGCAAGGTGCATTTTATCGCGTTAAGATAAGTAAGATGATTGTGCGAGACATATCACGACTCTCATTCCGCTTGCTTTCCTCATTAGCGGATAATTGATTATATAAATTCTCCGGATGAACTGGTCGTTAGGAACATAAGTAGCACGAGGACGATTGGAAAGTTTTCACGGAGTCTTTCCTCCGCCAGAGCTCGACGGCGCAGTAAACGCGTCGTTGAATAGTACGCGTGCTCTCCGACGGAGAAGCGTCTCCAATCGGCAACGTAACGACTGTTATTCCATCGCGACGCTCCTCGTTAGCTCTTTCCGCCCGCGTAAGTCCTCAACTATGCACGATTGTCGCGACTCAGGCAATTAGAGAAATATCGCCGTGTCGGTGCGGACGCGCGCGTGACCTTCGCTCGACTCGCGTCCTCCGCTCCCCGTCCGATAGCTGATGCGCGCCTCTAATTGTTTATAAAGCGCCAGTCGAGCAGTCCGAATAAACGGGGGGGGGAGGCTGATTGAGTTTTGTGGGTTAATAGGCAGCGCCCTGTCGAGCCCACTCTCAGCTGACCCACGAGAGAATTCACCCGGCCCCGTCTTCAATCCCCGACATTACACTCCTGACTGAAGCTTCCATATCCCGAGGCTCGGTAACCTGTGACTGTGAGTTTAACAGATTGAGACACGACGGCCGACCTCTTCCTTTTCCTCTTCCTCTTCTTTCATCCCACCTATCGCGCCCGCTTTTTCTTTTCGCCGGCTTTCCCGTTCTTCCCCCTCCCCGTCGAGCAACTCGGGGAGGTCGATATACTACCACCATCGCGCACTCCACTTTCCTCTACCCTGGGCTCTTCGCCTTCCTTCCCTTTCTCGCCTCGTTCCCACCTTCGAGGACGAAGGCCACTTACTTGGGCTTTTTCTCTTTGACCTACTGCTGCCACCGACACGCAGATCTGCGCGATCCCTCGGCACGAAGCACGATAAGCGACGTCAGGACGTCGGGTGGCCCTTTTAAGCTCGACCTACGACGACGACGGTGGTCGCTCCGCCCGATCGGATAATGTCGCGATCGATTTTCCAAATCGAACCGGAGCCACGAGGGAGGGGGTATGAGACGGTTTGTTTGCGAAAAATATCCGGCGATCTGACGCACCGATGGCGACAGTGTTGGTAGATCCGCCGTCGCGCGCGCGCACGCGAGATCGCGTTTTGTTTCCCTTTCGCTTTTTCCCGTGTCTTCCCTCTCGCTCGTAAATTCGCGGTGTTTTAAACGGCAAATACTTGAAAAGTAGTGCAATTTTTCCGAAGCGTAATCTTACATCTGAAACGAACAATTCGTGCCGGTGCAAACGACTCTGCGCGCCACGCAGGTATCGCTTTTTATCGCTCCCTCAACGTTCTCTTTTATATATTTCATAAAGCATCGCGCGTCCAAATGCGGACTCGTTTCACGCATCGCGAAAGGGTCCAATTTTTCTGGCAAGAACTGTGGATGTACGCGCGGATAACGCGTTGCATATATAGAGGCGAAATAAATAACAAACCGCGCGCGCGCGCGCGCGTCGCGGGTCGCGGTCGGAAGAGGGAACGACTCGATTTTATTTCTGTATAATACCGAATTTCAGTCTCTTTCTCGCCCCGCTTTTTTTCCTTTCTCTTACTTTCTTTTATTCTTCTTTCTTTCGCCCCACTCGTCTGCTTTTCGTTCCGACCCGGTTCCTGGCTCCTGCTAAGCGTCGGCAACGACGGCGACGGCGGCGGTGGCGGTGGCGGTGGCAAAAGTTCGCGCGAACTGTGACATATTTGGAACACTTCGCAGCTGCTTCGCGAAAATGGCGAAGGATTGTTAGTTATTCCGCGATACTTTTTGACGAGTGCAATCTGGCAGTGACTTGCAAGGTCGCTTAAAACATTACGCTTAATACATTCCAGCTGTGACTGTAGCATCAGCGAAACCTTGAGGCGCTTGTAAATAATTTTATGCCCCGTCATTTTTCCGTTTTAATTATCCGCTTAATTATCGCTTAATTGTCCGTTTTAATTATTCGCGCGTAGGAGAGTGTGAAGCAGCGTGAAATGCGCGGAAAGAAGTCCGTTAATGAAATCTAACAAAACGCGACTATTTTAATTTAATCATCATAAATTTTCCTTCCCGCTTCCGGCTTCCTCTCATCTCCGACTGTATTCTTGAGATTTTTGTTCTTCGTTATGACACAATAAAGATATTTAGGGAATATAATACAAGTAGCGTCGTGATTACCTTAATTTAGCTCATCGCACGCGGAACTGCTTGATTGTTTAATCAGGATTGGGTCAATTAGGATATATGAACCTGCAAAATCTCGCCTCGTGGAATATTTAAATATCGTGCGCGCGCGCGAAATCTCGTTCATTAACGAGGATCGCCGGGGAACGGACGGATGGAAAGACAGAAAAGCCCATGCTTTGGTTTCTCACTCGGAGAAATAGATAATTGATCGATTGATCGATTACTTGTTGAAATAACGATGATTCCTTTTAGCGGGAGGGCCATCAAGCTCTCGAATTCTCTCCCCGAAGCTGTCTGTAGGGCGCGCATGTCCCAAATTATGCATGGCCCATGGTCGCGCGCTGTAGCCAGTCTGTTTCCACACGGCGGATACGGACTGCGTCATCGATACGCGTGAGGCTGTTCTTTATATATTTCTATTCTCGCACGTGCATGAGACGCGTGCATTCTCATGCACGTGCGACCTTGTGAGTTGAACTGGTGCTTGGATTTTTGCGATCTGCAACAACGCACTCACCGCTTGCGAGACACGCACGCACCGCTTGCGAGACCCCGCCCCGTAGAGTGTCACCGAAACGCAGAGATCGAGGTTTGTTGGCTTTCGCATTTGCATGACAGGAAACTGACACACGCACGCACACACGTGAAAGAGCGCGATCAGGACACGCGCGGCTGCAGATCGGCGATCCGAGCCTCCGAGTGAATCTTCACGAGTTGATCAATCGCCCCTGAGGTTGGAGGAGTAAGTCCGTAGAGTTACACATTTCGACGGAAGCGTCAGTATTTTGTACGTTCGTAGAAGTAGGTAAAGAACTTAGTAGAACGTAGCTGAGAGAGAGAAAGAGGGAGAGAGTGCATGCGGGACGAGGCTTTGTGACGCATCTCGCGATTATCTCGAAGTTACATGTCCAACTCCGTATCGTTTCGCGCTGGAGTTTCTCGACGCTGCGAATCGGCGGGGCGAGTAAAGAAGAAATTTGAGAACCGATGTATATACACGTATACACATAACACACACACGCACACACACACACACACATACACGCATATACGCGCGCGCTCACGTCGATATTTCGTAATGTCTCGTGTTCGGCCTGACGTGAAACAAGAACAAGAGGCATCGAGCGAGAACGACGTGGATATTTCCCTATTTTCCGAGTAGCAATCGGAACTCGACGAAGCGCGGAATTCGCCAACTTCACGAAATTCGCCCGAATACGATATAATGTACACGACTAGCTAATGTGTGCAAATATTGGCTTAATTTCCGGCGTAAAGATCCGAGTGCAATGTTAACGCGGGGAAAATGGTGAAATACAATTTCGCAAAGCCGCCGCTTTTCTTACCGCGAGAGTCATAGCTCATCGATCGTAATTAATTCGGAATTGCACGTTGATTGCTCTTTCTCCGTTCATATTCGATCCTCGGAACGAGCCGGCCGCGGCGCGGCGATGCGGCTCGCCGATGGAATGCCTAATGTCCGCAGAGAGCCTGTTTACTCGAGAGTACGATTAATTGTCGACCGACGCGCATCGTTAGAACTCGTGTCCCGTTAAAGTAACGCAGCCGCAGGATCAGGATCCCCAGCGGCGCGTGAGCTGCTAAGCGTCGCAAATTGAGAGCCCGCATGTTCTCGCGACAAATCCGAGCTTCGAGATGATCGCGCGCGCGCGCGCGCGCGCGCAAGCGATTGAGGGAGCAATGCTCGCGCGCCGGCGCCCCTGCCCTCATTAACCTGCATCTCTGATGCTGTTCAGGCAAGGTGGACGAGAAGGCGACGCAGCTGCACGCGATAGCGTCGCTGAAAGTGCTGCTGGACGCCACGAGGCCGCACAACGGCGCCGCGACGTCGACCGCCGCCCATTATTCCGGCGCGCCCTCGAAGGAGACGACCCTGCAGCTGCAGCAGGGCTCGCAAGGCACCACCACGACCACCACGACTACGACCACCACTGCCGGCACCACCGCCGGTATTCAGGAACTTCCGAACGGTGGTATTGCCGTCGGTATCGACGGCCTCGAAACGGTAATTATCGCACACGAAGGAGAGAGAATATCCGATGTCGCGCTAATGGAACCGATCGACGAATCCTGTCGATCCCGATAGGTCCCCCCATGGCCCGCATCAGGATCGCCGGATCGCGTTGCAGCCGATTCCTCTGAAAATGTATTTCACGCTGGGAGCAAAAGATCGCAAATATCAGCGAGATTAGACTTTTCTCTTTTCGGCCCCGGCCGTATTTTCCTGCTGTTTCGAGAATAAGAAAGCAGCAGTTGTAATACGCGTATATATTATTATATCGCTCGCATTATGATAATACCAATTACAAGAATAATCCTCCTAACTATGATCCTTTCGCTGTACGATAATCAGTAAAAATACCAAACACCTTTTTCTCAGCGCGCGCAGACTCTCTCTCTCTCTCTCTCTCTCTCTCTCTCTCTCTCTCTCTCTCTCTCTCTCTCTCTCTCTCTCTCTCTCTCTGTGCTCGAGTTTCCTTCGGATTCGAGCGTTTCCGTGAACTTGCGGACACAGCTTATTAAGAAAAAGCTCGTTGGCGCAAACGCATTCGTGCTGTGTCACAAAGTCGATCGATAGCTCGTCTCCACGGAAATGATGAGCGGTTCCGCTGATCATTTCCAAAGTGCAAAGTTACAAGCTGCGCGCGTTGCCGCTGTAAGAATCCGCGATTCGTTGGACGGTTGCCTCTCCGGCCGAGGGATTGGAATAATTTGCGCGTTTGCCGCGCTGTGTGTCGCCGTAAAAACAATAGGGACCGAGAAAGCGCTGATTGGAATTTGTCGTTCCACTTTTCTCGGCGACGCGCTCGATGATTCGCCCGCCGTGTATCGGCCGTCACGTATCGTGTCAAACGTGACCGTCCGGACGCTCGTTGTTTTTCAGCGCGAGCAGTCCTTCGGTTCTCCAGCGTGCGAGAATACGCGGCCGGTCAAATCCGCGACTCGATAAATCGCCCCACGATGGGCTAATTTCGGGATCGGTATAACTTGGCGATCGCTGTCGCGCGCCCTCACGAGCACGCGTCGTGAAGGGCACGTCATGGCTCGATATCGTAACGCTCCACTTTCCGTTGTGAAATGTTTGCTCCTATCACGACTTGAATATCCCGAATTAGAATAGGCGGCTTAATTTCCACAATACTGCGAATCACGCAAAGTAAATCCTTTTTAAGCCGCACGTCGAACGTCGCTCGAAACGTAACATTTCTGTCTGTGTAATTTTCAGCTCACTGCTACTCGCACACGGGCGTTCATCGATTTGAGATTGGAATGTGGTACAATTTGGTCGAAAACACGAGAATTTGTACGACGGCTCTCAGATATTCGTCCGCTGTATGAAGAAGGAAGATTGATTGAATTAACGTGAAGGAGCCAAGCACACATTATTAACGAAGGAACCAGAATTTCTCTCGGACGCGAATTTGGCTCGAGAGCGGCAGAAATTCTGTGTCCTTCGATCCAAACGTACTTGGTTCCTTCGTTGTCCCGTCAACTGAAACTCTTTCCTCCTCCTCCTCCTCCTCCTCCTCCTCCTCCTCCTCCTCCTCCTCCTCCTCCTCCTCCTCCTCCTCCTCCTCCTCCTCCTCCTCCTCCTCCTCCTCCTCCTCCTCCTCCTCCTCCTCCTCCCCCTCCTCCTCCTCCTCCTCCTCCTCCTCCTCGTGTAAAGAGTACAAAATAAGCGCGCGGCCGATAAGAGCATCGCGGCTCGATGGTTGCGATTGATTGCTTTTTGCGGAAAGATAACATCAGCAAAATATCACCCACGTCGAGATATTTTTCCGCTTCGCAAAGTACGTGCGGCCTTTATTTATCCGTCGGTTCTTTCCGACGGCGAACCGCGAGCCCACATTCCGATCATGTTAATACCAAAGTTGCCAGCCATCCCAAACGCGGTTCACCCAAGCGTCCACATACCACGTTGCGAGAAAACGCATCGTGAAAGTTACTGGCTCCATCGTCGCCGATAAGAGTACAGACGAAGAGCAGAATATACGACGGAGAGTAATTCAAAGAAAGCAAGTCGCGAGATGACGTTGTTGCTTCCCATACGCGGATGCTGGCCGAGAGTCGTAAACGCACATACCGAGCACACGGTAGTGTACTGTGGGCGTAATGGTTGAAGTCGGCATTACGAGGGAGAGCCGCGCCGGTATAAATCGAGACATCGCGTTCTCATCCATTAAGTCTTATCGGGACAAGCGCAATTCTCACCCGCGCCGCAAACCGACCGTGCGAACTTCGCGATCATAAATCAGCGTGTCGCTCGATATTTGTCGGCTTCGAACTTTAAAGTTCATCCAAGGTTATTTTACCTGCTCGGCGAACTCGGTCGCGTCAAAGGGGGAGGGAGAGAGCGAGAGCTGTGAGAAATCGAGGCCCGTGTCGCGTCGCGGTGTCTCGCAAGAAACTCGCTAAGATTTCGCGAAACGCGCGATCACGACGCGGTAGACGCGGTTTCGCGATCGTCGTCGAGGGCGGCGGATGAGTGAGGCGGGGGAGGAAGGGGAAGAAGGAGAGAGCAAAAAGAAGACTGAGGATCGATAAGGTTTTTATCTATGTCGGGCGCGCGACGATGTTCTCCTCGCGACGGGAAATTTTCTTGTCGCTTTCCGTTCTCGGGGGAGATACGACTGCGGCGAGACGGTCGATGTGGATGAAGGGGAAAAAGAGAGAGCGGGAGAGAGAGAGAGAGAGAGAGGGAAAAACCTAACGAGCACGATATTGCTTGTCTGAACTTCCCCGTTGTTCGTCAGATACTATCGCGGTGAATTCCGTCCACACTGACGGACGGAGATAAATATTCAATAATTCTCCCCGACGCGCCGACCGCCGCGATGGAACGCTCGAGAGCAAAAGAGAGAGAGAGAGAGAGAGAGAGAGAGAGAGAGAGAGAGAGGGGGGGAGGCAGAGAGAAGAAGAGAACTCCTCATTTCCCGTCTCTCTGCGCTGACCTCCAACTTGAACGAACCACCTTCTATCGCTATCCTATACTCCGGCTTCTTTTGTAACCTCCAGAGGGTTCTTTAAAGCGACGTCGCGAATTGCAGATCCGCTAACGGATAGATAGGCGCGTTTCTCTCGCGCGCTATCGGAATCCCATTTAAGCTCGTTTAACGACCGACAATGCGATATCGCGGTACGGTAAGCGGGCCGCGAGCGAACGAGCGCTCCAGATCGCGACGAATTTTCCGCGAGGGACGCGAGACAAAATGCGCGCCGGGCGCGGCGGCTCTGATCGCGTTGCTCTAATTAAAACGGAGAACCTCCCGGACGGCTATACGGCACAACGCAGCACAGCCGCGGCGGCGGCGACGGCGGATCGCTGCTCGTCGCGCGACAAATTGCGGCGAGCGCGCGCGACCCTCGCCCCTCGCGGTTCAAATCGATACGCCATGCGTCGTGTCATTTTCTTGCGTCGGGCATCCAGCCTGGCTTTTATCGCGCGCATTAACGTTTACCGCCGCGCGCGCTTAAAAAATGCATCGCACGTATAAGCGAGGCACGTTCCCGGTATCGGCCTCTTATCTCGGCATCGCCCTTCGCTTTTACGATCGACTAAGAGCGAGATCAGCTCCGGCGATTCCTCTGATTCAATCAGCCGCGATATCCTGCGAATTTCCGTTAAGCTCAGTCGCAATCCTCAGTACGCAATTCTATTTTAACGCTTATTGTTCTTGCCCCCACAAACGGGTAACGCGTCGCGCTGCCTGGCCGTAACGGCGAACGCAGAGAGAGAGAGAGAGAGAGAGAGAGAGAGAGAGAGCCGCGTGTGACCCACATCAGCGACGCGAATAGCTCGTCGCGTTGTCGCGTGTCAAATCCTCTTCTTTCCTCACAAAGACGCGAAGGGCAATGGCATTTTGAATTTCTGCACGAATCTATTGGCCTTCTCGAACGGAGAATCCGATTGGAGGCTGCGCCGACGCATCGTCATCGAACGTATCGCCGACGTAAAGGGAATGTATATCGCGTATGCGGGAACCGCGTCTTCTTTCCCAGTCCCAGCTGAGGAAAATCCAGAGTGTTGGCTTGCTTTCGCAAGTGTTTAGTTGGCTGTTTATAGGGGTAGTGTAAAGGGAACGGAAGACAGAGAGAGAGAGAGAGAGAGAGAGAGAGAGACAGAGAGAGAGACAGAGACAGAGACAGAGAGAGAGAGCTCCGCCGTCTTCGCTCGCATTCTCGCGCGTATCTGCCGCGTTCGTAGGACGACTTCCGATGACTGTAGCGATGAGTGTTGAAACAACGACAATATCCGCGCGAGCGGAGGCGTGAACGCGCGCGCGCGGTTGATCGTCGCCTCGTTTTGGCAAGTTACGACGCCCGACGATGCTGCGATCGGAAATCGACCGATCGTTGCAAGTTCGCGAGGATATTAGCCGGCGCTCGAGGTATGACAAGGCGCGCTCCGGCGAGGTGAGGGATTCGCAGTCGGCTTTGTCCCAAATGAGCGAGGAGAAGGCCTTTTCATTTTGAATGCATCGGGAATCTGGGTCAATGCTGCAGCCCGTACCCACCACCCGTCGCTGCCATTGCCGCTGCCGCTGCTACGGCTTGCCGGCCAGGCAAGCTTTCCACGGATAATCGGAGCAAAGTCGCCAACCGTCCGGTTTTCCGCGCGAGTTTCCGGATTTGCGGCTGACGGCTCGACGACGACCACGACGGCGACAGCACGACGCGACACGCGAGCGGGGCTTGTGTGTAGTGCCGGACGACTCGGTTGACAGTGAACGTTGTCCTCCTTGATTCTACAAGAATGCGCGACGAGATCCGAGACGAATGCAGGCCTCTGCCGATGCTAATCGAGCGAGCCGGAGCCCGTAAAATCTCTCGACGCTCGGACGACATCTTCGATCTTATTTCCGAAGACCTCGCCGATGTGGGTCACGTTGGGTCCTCGATATTGGTTCGCATTGCGCCGCTTTGAGCTGCCAACAATGAAACAACTCGCGGTTAGCTCGTCGCAGCGATGCACGACTCGTCTTTTTCTCTTCTGCTTTGCTCTCTGCTTTGCTTGCAGACAGCCGAGCCTCGGTGTCGTCCGGGCGATCGCTTTAGAGACGTCGTTTCCGTTTTTCCGCCGGCAATTAGCATCCTGTTGATCAGAATCGAGCGGCAGTGTCGCCTGAGCAAGCGAGCGAAACTCAATCCGAAAGCACTCGGAGCAATAGGGATCAGTCGGAATTACAAACAGTTGGCCGTACTTTCCCCCGGAACGACGCGGAACGCGTCGGTAGTTTGCGGATGTAAACGTGCGGCATCGCGTCGCGGTCGCGTCGAGGCCGGAATGACGGAAAGGGACTTTGTACCTTTGCCGCAATACTCGTAGTTTTTAAAAGGGCCTCTGAGAGCTCTGCGGCATCCCTCGTCTACAGCAACGCGCGTCGATGTTTCCGCCGCATTCTCCGCCGGAGAGGCAACGAAGTTAACCCGCGTGCCTCGCGAACACGGCCGCCCAACCGAACACACTTGACGAGCGCGCTCGGTCTTCGATTTTACAATTCCTCGTGTCGGAACCACGTCTCCCGAACATTCTGCTATTTACGAGCTAAAATAACGCGGCTCGTCTCTCAGCCGCGCTCATAATGGCCGCACTCGGTACTAACACCGCTCAGCAGGTTGAGCATTCACTGAGCTCCCGGCTTTCATTTGGCTTGTACTTTAGACCTTGATCAAATCTAAAGCTTTATGCACCATTTAAAACGAGGAACACGCTGAGCGGTTGTGCTACCAAATGACTGCAACGTACGCCCTCGTTTGTAAAGAGTTTGAACAAACGACGGGGGGAGGAGGGGGAGGGGGGGGAGGGGGGAGGCGATTTCAGGCAACCCTCACTTATCCTTCAACATGTGTTCTTCGTTTGCAGGGCGATGACGATGAGCCTCCGGAGGCCTTGGACATGGGCTGGCCTAGCAGCCCGAGGAAAAGGCTAACTTACATCTTGGTCGCGCCAATCTTATTCCCCCTTTGGTTGACGTTACCGGATACGAGAACACCCAGAGGTAATTGTCAATTATCTTTTTATACCGCCGCGCGACTTTTTCTCCCTGCCCAACCGAACGTTTCTCAATTTCAACGACGTCGTCCCCGTTCCTTGATCCCGGCCAAAGCCTGGCGCGTGTAACGCGAAGGAAAAATCAAATAATTACGCTTAGGCGCTTTTACCTTCCTCCTCTTGCTGGGGAATTGTACTTTCAAATGAAGGCGAAAGTTATAACAAGCTCGAGGAGGTCGGACCGAATAAAATTCCTCGCGTTTTCGTTCGCTCGAGGCGGCCATATATTTGCAGCAACATCAACACCTCGTCCGGTGGCCTACCTCCCTTGGGTGTTTTCACTGTGCAGACCCTTCGGATAGCGAGATATTAGGTTCTTACACACTCAATGAGCGATCGGCCTCGAGTGGGGAGGTTAATAAAAGCAGTCGAAAGCAAGATCGTTAAGCGCGAGATCGTTCGAGCGGTTTGATTTACATTCCTTGCGTCCTCCTTCTCTCCTTCCCTCTCTCCTTTCTCTTGGTCCTCCGAGAATAAAGAGAAAGAGATCTGAGAAGTCAATTAGGATATCTACGAGACGAATATATAAATCTTTGTGTAGAGGGCGGAGAGAGTCTTAATTTGTCGAAGTTGGATGGATAGAGATAGATATGAATCGAAAGCGGGACGGGGAGAGCTTTTAATCGACAAACACTTCAACGATATTACGAGAAATAGCCTAATGTCCTCCCCGCTCCCTCAGTCGTACTGCTCTTTATGCTATAAATGAAATAACGCTGTTAAGAGGCAGCGCGGAAGCGCGACAGAGTAATTTCTGGTCCAATTTTCTTGTAATAACTCGCTACTCGTGCCGCATTCGTTTCCGCCACTACCGTGACCGTTGGTGAATAATCGCGGACGTACACACACATGCACACACGTTTGTTTCTTGCACGCGCTCGACCGCGATAAATCGCTAACTGAAATAAATAAATTCTCGATCTGTATATTGTCCAGCTGAGAACGCGACTCGTTAGGGCTCAAGAATCTCTCACGCTATTTAGACTACCCGACAGCGGATTTTGTATACTCGATTACACCCGCTTATTGCATATCTAACGTATCGCTCGGCCCGTCCAAGTGTGAATGACGATTTATCGCCCGTCGGAAATATTAACCGACGAAGGGAAGGAGGCGCGCAGGAGCGTTTCGAATGCACCATTAATTACAACTCAATCTCTCTCTCTCTCTCTCTCTCTCTCTCTCTCTCTCTCTCTCTCTCTCTCTCTCTCTCTCCCCCCTCTCTTTCTGACTTTTTCCTTCGGATATGTATTTGTTTCTTTTGTTTCCTTTTTTTAAACTCGCTGAAAACTCGTTTGGGTCGGATTAAATCCTATCAATCAGCGCAGACGTCGCATAGCGCTTCCGCTCGTCCCATATCGATCCCCGGGGTAATATTGGCGTAACTCCGGGATTTCGGCCCGTCGATCTCGCGGAGCATGGAGATAGGATAACAAATTGGTCGCATCAACGACAGGTCGGTCAAACGGCATTCATAATTACGGTCCCTCGCGCGAGTCCGCCTCCGGCTGACTTATGAGTTTGTTTCTCTTCGTCCTCCTCGTCCTTTTCTATTACGCGCTCGAAGCGCGTTACTGATGCGCGATGCGCTCTGCAGCGGGGATCCACGGACGGAAGGAAACCGAATGGCGCTCGTGACCTCGCGAGAGTTTTTCGCCGCGTCGTTTCTTCGCCGCGAGAGACGCAACGGGTCGCGCGTTATCGCCGGAAAGCGAGAACGTTGCCGTCTCGGGAGAGAATTTCCTCTTAATAAGAAATATTAAGATCGGCTCGCGAGCGGTGCGCCGTTGCCGCCGCCATCAATCACGGGCGCGCTGCGTTATCACAGACCATTAACATGCCTCTATTGCGACGCCGCACAATGCCCGCGACGAAAGATGATATTGACACGCTAATTTCACATTGGAGACTGATTGTTGCGCTCATACGAATGCAATAGATGGGCGGGCGAGTGGGCGGCCGTGCGCTCGCTCGCGCCACGCCGATTCCATTGTCGGCTAAAATTCCGATATGTCCTTTGAATTTCAGCAATCTCGGCCTTTGATTACTGATCTATTAATATGGTCATTGCCATGATCAATTAACGCGGGCTCGCACGCGTCGCAAAACGCACGGAACGGTCGCGGAATCGCCGGCGATTATTTAGTCCGCTTGTTCGCGATATCGTTGTATATGTTGAAAAATTTGCGTCAAGGGACAGATGGTTTTTTGTTTCCCCTTTTTTTTATGCATACACACGCATACATGTGTGTATATACGCAGGCAAACGCGTGGTCGATTTTCTCAGTGCGATTCTTTCGCCTCTGAATTTGTTTCCAATTTAAACGCGATGCCGTTGAAAACGGTGGATGTGGAGCGATGAGCGCGAATATTTCTCACATGAAATTAAGATCTACTTCCGTGTCAAATGGCGCTGCCTCTCTTCATTTCTCGCGCGGATAAACGGATAAACGATGGAATAATTTAAACTACTCCCGGGCTTATACGTTCGACTAATCTCGCTTAAATTAAGCAAATCAGCGATCGCACGGCATTCCCGGTTGCCATGCATTTCACTTATTCCGCGATAATTTCATTTACTCCGATTAAAAGATTAATATGGACAATGGATCGCCCACGACGGGGAGGGGGGGGGGGAGAGAAACTTTCGTTCCGTTTTCTCAGCCTGCAAAGTCGCCGTGATCATAATTGCGCGAGGAGGGTCTAAGTTACGGCATGGCGATCGGTCGAGCGCATTTAGCATACTTAAACTACTCCCGTTAATGGGAACTACAGTTAACTACAACGTAGAAACGGGACGACTTCATAATTCCGCCCCGGAAGGACATTCCGTCGCCGGTCGCGGGAAAGAGGAGGAAGAGAGCGGTGTGACTTTTCGTGCGGCGGCCCCCGACTCGGGGATTCCCACGGGAGAAATTAACCGCGCACGCGGCTAGCCGATAGCCAATATCATCGGCGTCGCCAAGCTTTACGCGGCTGCGATTAATGAATCGCGATCTCCACGAGGCAGGGCGCGGCGCGACGGCGAGCCGTGTGTATTATATGTGTAACGGATGCCGCGCATCCGTTGAATTTCAGGGAAGAAGTTCTTCCCGGTGACGTTCATCGGCTCGATCTTCTGGATCGCGGCGTACTCGTATCTGATGGTCTGGTGGGCGAACATCGCCGGCGACACAGTGGCCATACCGCCGGAGGTGATGGGCCTGACGTTCCTCGCAGCCGGCACCAGCATACCGGACCTCATCACGAGCGTCATCGTCGCGCGAAAGGGCTACGGCGACATGGCTGTGTCGAGTTCCGTCGGCAGCAACATCTTCGACGTGACCGTTGGGTGAGCATCCAGCCCGACTTTCGGCGTCGCGCGACGTGAGACGTACGGCGCGTCTCGCGATGGCGATGTGAAAGCTGGCCGTATTACGACGTACGGCGAGTCGCCCGCCTGAGACATATCGGCGATATCGATATCGATATCGATATCGCATTCCGTTCTCTCGCGACGCGTTTCGCGCGCGCTTTATTACGCTTATCAAACGGTCCCGGACGACGGAGGACACTTGGCGAACCCGTGGAACACTGTGTGTCATCCGTTTCGCTCGCATGGCGTATGAATATTGCAGTTTTCGCTGTAAGAAGGCATTCCCCTTTCTCCCTGCATTCTCTTCTTTTTTTTTTCTTTTTCTCTACGAGCCGTGGAGAAGATGAAAATTCTTATCCTCTCTCGCCACGCGAAAAGCCAGCGCGAAGCTGAAAGGTATTCCGAGCCGCGTGAAGGCTGAGCCTGAGGGAAGTTATATTTTATTAGTATAATATTGTAATGGCGAGATATGTGTTAAAAGGGGAGTGACAGATAAGCACACTATCGCCGAGAGCATTCGTGCTCTTGCTACAGTTGCCATTTTGTGCCACGCGATAGCATGTTGCAGCAACGTGTGTGTCTCGTTGATCTTATACGTGAATAGAGTTTCACGATACACCCCGATATATATGGAACAGAATTGCCAGACCACCATGTAGATAAAAGCTGCAGAAAAATAACAAATGTATAAGTGTGTATGCGCGCGTGTGTGAGAGAACATCTCTAGAAAGCGCGGGATGTCATGTCGATTTTCCGAAAGGATTATCTCGAATCTCGTGAAAAGATAAAAAGAAGGAAGGGCCGCAGCATGTAAATTAGCATGCGCTAGATAACGTGGACCGGCGCGGCGGTGCGGGAAGAATAGTGTGGAGTAAACGGTCGCGCGAATATCTCACAATAGCTCGACACACATCGGCATTTGCTAAACACACAAAGATTTCGGAATCGCGGCATCTCCGCAGCACGCTAAGGCGCAAAGCGGAGCGCCTCGGAGCGACTGAGAAATTTAATACCCGAAAGCGCGCGCTGTGTTTCTTTATTTTCCATCCCGGACTCATTTACGTCACGCTACATTGAGAGATCGATTAACGAGGAGGGCCAAGTGCCAAAGAGGCCGAGAAGCTTATTCGGAAAGAGCGCGATATCAATCTCGAATTTCGGTAACGGTAATCACTCGGGCGGAATGAGGAAACGTTCCAGCGTTCCATTGCGTTTAACATCGAGCGAGAAAATACTATCGGCCGTTTCACGCCGCGCATTTAACGCTCCATATTATTATTATTATTATCATCATTAGCGAAACACGCGGCGGGATTGTTTTTCGGTGATGGAGCAGCCGACATACTCATTTCGCTGCTTTTTCAGCGTCCGACTTTAGTCCGAGTTTAGTCGGCGCATTAACATCGACGGAATTACACCGACGATCAACAAGCGGCATGTTTCTCTACCTTCCAAGTGATCGAGATGATAAATTTTTGAAGAAATACATTATGCAAAATGGGGCAAAAATGTTCGTTTATTTCTTGTAGTTTCAATCGACGTCTACGAACAGTACCAAATGCGCGTCGCTGCATAAATCCGAATAATTTTTATAAGAAACTACGCTCACTTTTGTGCGCTTGGTAGCTTGTGTTTGTAATGTTAGTAAGGTACGCGATATCACTGTCGTTTATTGTTTCTCATTTGCTCTCTCTCGTTTTTGTCCACCAAACACGAGCGCGCGCGCGCTCATCGCGATACTCCGCTTGCATTGCCGCTGGAAGAAACGATGCCATTGTTATTCATATTGTGCACTCCGGAGTATATGCGCGGCCAATGGTTGGTACAGTTATATCGATGTTACGCTGAATGGAGCTGTACTTAGCTCACCTTCAAATATGCATCCGCTTCGAAGATACATTCGCGCCGCGATCCGAATCATTAGGCGCGTAATTGGATGTTACCTGCTAATGTACCGACGTTACGGAGTATCTCGGGAGCAAATTAGACGAACTTCACAATGCATCCGACTCCTGAATCCCGACTCCTGAGTTCCCGAACGGCGGCTCACGCGTGACATTTGCTTTTCTATATCCACGAGACGCATTATTGCTGCTATTCCTCCGCGCCGCGACCGTAAAAATCGAGACACGTAACAGCGCGACGAGCATCCGGGGGCAGATACGATACCATTTACGAGAGCCTCTCCAAACGCGCAATATTATTTCGTAATTCTTGCATTCGATGGTATCGAACATTGCGAGGTGCTTTGCCGATGCTACTCGAACAATGTCAGCATCGCCGCGGCGAGGGATCCGCGGAAAACGGAAATTGATAGACGATAGGAACGATTACGGCTCGTAAGATATCAACGGCGCAGCGCAGTTCGATAGACGAGTCGAACAATATCGGAATTATGAGGCTCTCTGCGCATGCATGTGAACACAATGCATTTCATTGTGTATATATGCAATTAGTGCATGTATGCGGAAATACTATACTACGTATAACGTCAACATACCCGTACACGTATGGAATAAGTGTGCATACGTGTATGCATGTTTATTTTAAAATGTAAACATCTGAATAAACATATACAGAGATTCCGGGATGTTTTGGAAACGAAAAATTGCGAAGATTAATCAGGTCAAACTGAGGAGAAGAGCCAAGTAACATTTTGCAACAATCGCAATAGTTATTAAGTTATTGATAATTGAAAATGACCACATTTCTTTTAATAATTGATAACTTGAAAATTTGCGTATTTATTTAGAAAAAATGGTAAAGGATCTTTTTGTTCAAAATGACCCAATTTACAATTTTATGACGACTATTGTGTCTAACAATAGATATGAGTATATTGAACTTTGGACTCTGAATCTTGAACACAATAGCCGTCATATAATTGTAGATTAGATCTGAACAAAAAAATCCTTTACTATTTTGCAAAATAAGTACGCAAATTTTCAAGTTATCGATTAAAAAAGCTTCTAAATGCTATTTTCAATTATTAATAACTTAATAACGATTGCAATTTTTGCAAAATGACTTTTCTTCTCAGTTTGATCTGATTGATCTTCACATCTGATTAATCTTCATACTTTTTTAACAACCTGTATAAGACGCATACACGTATGCACGCACGTACGCTCTTTCTCATAATGTATGCTCACGCATGCGATACGAATCGGAATTTTGCCGACGAGATCGGATAAGGTTGGAAGAGGCATGCGGTATTGGTAGCCGGGACCGTCGTGGTATTCTCATTATTTCACTGTAATCGCATTCGTTATTCGCTTGCCGGCATTATTGTATTGTTGGCGGGGGAAATGCCGCAAATACTGTTCCGCGGACACGACTCACACTCTCTCTCTCTCTCTCTCTCTCTCTCTCTCTCTCTCTCCCCCTCTCTCTCCCTCCCTCCCTCCCTCCCTCTCTCTCTCTCTCTCCCTCCCTCTCCCCCTCCCTCTCCCTCTCTCTCTCCCTCTGTCTCTTTCTCTCTCTCTCTCTCTTTCTCTCTCGCCGCGATAAGATCTCGAGGAGACTTCCAGCCGCCCATGAGCCGCCGCCCAGTCGAACCGTGTTTTTCTTCAGCGCGTTTAATGAAAATGCACGGTTGTACAGCCGATCAACGATCGATCATGGTTCACGTATCCGTGATCGGCTGCCAACTGGCAAACTGCCTGGCGGAGAGAAGGAAGCGGATAAATATTTCTGCTCCGTACGACGCTCGCAACTGCGCATCAAAGGATACGCGATATATCCAAAATACATCGACCGCATTGTTACGCATAAACGGGTAAAGGCATAAATTATGGATGCTACATTTTGCACATATATATATTTTTTCGTTTATTAGCGCAATACCCACGTTTGTAACCGATCGATGCAATAGTCACAATCCCGTTGCGCAAATGCACGTACCAAGAATGTTCCGTCGAGAGCATATCACGTTTCGCGAGTCGCGTATGAAGAAATCATGGTGGTACGCGAGTTTCTATGGAGTTAGAACCGACGTGTGCGATCCGAGTAAATGGTATAATTTCGAAAAAGACGCAATCTTACTGCGCTAGGGAGGAAAACAAGGGTGCTTTCAGGATAACAGGAAAGAATTCGATTTCGAGATTCTTAAATTAAACAGCGGACTGGGAGAAGAATTCAATATGACATATGATCAATGATTCAATATGATCAAATATGTATGATCAATATGAGAGAGAGAGAGAGAGAGAGAGAGAGAGCTCTCGATAGCAGTTGGCGATAAACCACCGGCCGTCTTGAACACCAATTTCGCGTGACTCTTCGCGTTGCTGCAACTCTGTCACGAATCTCTCGGCTTTTCTTCTTTTACTTTGCGACAATAGTTGTCGAGTGTACAGGAGTGCGTTATTCTTGAAAATAAAGACTAGGATGGGGAATAATGTTACTTGCGGCGGCAAGTCAGTCAGACAGTCGGCTCGATGTGCGTTTTGGTTCTGTCCGCAGGCTTCCTGTTCCATGGCTCCTGTACGGCTTGATCTATGGGAAACCCGTGGAGGTGAACTCGGTAGGCATGGTGTGCAGCATAGCGATACTGTTCTGCATGCTGCTGTTCGTGATCATGAGCATCGCCTGCTTTAAGTGGCAAATGAACAGGGGTCTCGGCTTCACGATGTTCATCCTCTACTTCGTCTTCGTCGCCGTCTCGCTGATGTTCGAGTACCAGTTGTTAATCTGCCCAGTGTAGGACTGCCAGGACAGCAGCCGTGATAACGGGCGAAGCAGAATGCATCCCCTCCGGCAGTGCGTTGCCGGAGGCGGAGGAACACGTCTGCGGATGGACGTACACACACTTACGGGTCTCGTCACCATCATCGTCATCGTCGTCGACAGGTCTCGGTCAACGAGAAAAAACTCTTCCCTGCGGTAATCCCGCAGCTTCGAGCCCCGAGGAGAGAAAACCGTGCCAGTTATTATCTCTTCCTTCCCGCGCGCGCGTGCGCACGTGCGAAGGAAATTCAAAGGTCAAACGGCAATATAGCATCATCTTCGTCACACATCATCGTCATCATCATCACCATCACCACATCACCCCATTACCACCGCCACCGCACCATCACCGGTCATCGAGTCGCAGCAGTTTACGTACCGCGCATATTACAAGGTGTCTTGTTCTCTAGTCGAGCTGTATATATTGTATAAATCTTGAAATACCTGAAATGAAATACTCGTCTTGTTATAAGAATTCATCGAGCGCGGCACTCCACGACCGCTCGAGTGCGCTACTCTATTTAGGCACGGCGAGCGCGTTAGCCGATCGTGCCAAGGACCAAACGAGTGTAACTTCGTATAATCCGCAGCAGGGGAGTCACCCGGCTAAGTTCGAGTTCCACCCTCTCGAGCGTCTTCTCCTCCTCCTTCCTCTTTTTCGTCCTCTGTTTCTCCTCGTTACTTGCGAGCGAGCAAAAGAGCGAGTCGGCGAACGAGCGGTCCCGCAGATCGCTGTCGCTACTCGCCAGTCATTTATTATTACAGACCGTCTTGATTCAAAATATTCGGACTTTCGCGACCGGAGAGGCCGGCTTGAAGGGAACGGGTGTTCAGATGCGACGGCGACGACGTCGTCCAGTCTTGAAGAGAGCGCGTCCGCGTCGAAGCGCTGAGCAGCGTCTCTCAGCCGCAGCCGCTGTTATATTAGCAATAAATCAACGCGATTCCTCGAGCTACGGTGATCGAACTGTCGGATTTCTCCAACGTCCAACGCAGACTCACCGCGATGTTTGTACAAAATGCGCTCGTAGGACTTCTTGTTTGACTCCTTGGCACGCTCATGTCCGAATATTATATATGTATATATATATATATATATCTATGTGTATATATATATATATATATAACATTACCCTAGATGAAAAGTGGCCTGACCGCTCGCCGATTTTTCTCTAAAGCAAGACTCTCTCTTCGCCTCTACTATAATTGTAGGATAGCGTTATAATTTCATTCTGTTGTGCTCACGGGATCCAATCTGACGCGGTGCGCTGTCCGGCGTTTCGTTTCGACGAGTGAGCAGAAGGTGCCTGCTCGAGTGAGCCTTCAAGTGCTACATATACAAACGTGTTGTTTCTCTCTGTTGTTTCGGTACATGGACAAGCTTGTCAAAAATTCACACCATGAAGAATCAAAATAGTATCGTCGGAGTCATACATTCGAAGAGTCGTTTCGTTCCTCGCCGGATTTCGTTCTTCCGAGTAATTTTCGCCGCGTAAGTCGTCAATTATGATCACAAAGTGAAGTAAAGCGGTGTTTGGTCGATAAAAGAGAAATTCTACGCTCGTAAAAAATTGTTTCAGACGCCGCCGAGAGTTTCTATACGTCGTTCGATCGAACGACGCGATTCACAAACACCGATAATCACATCTCGAACAAAACGACTGACCGCTGCACCAGTTTTACAGAGCACGATCGGAACGGATGTTGCTGTTGATACGTGAATAAGAGATCGAATGATGGAGGTAATAGTAACGGTAATCAAATAACACGAGACGCTGACCGGCACCGAGCGTTAACTCCTGCTTTATTTCCTGCGTTTTCGTTGCGGTGAGTCATTATTTCGGGCAAGTTTGATGAGCGCGGCAAGCGAATTCTCGAATAAAATCAAAGAAAATGTGTTCATCGACGCGATGATAGTGTTAATTTCGAGCGAGATCACCGCGGTGACGGTCGTTCTCGGTTAATTATCCGTTAATTGCGCATTAAAACATCGTCGTCGTTTCGGGTTAGTTAAACGCGTTCTTACGACTGACTAAACTTCCGCCTTTAAACGTTGCTTTATAAAGTGCTTCGGTTGCAGTCGTACACACCGATCAAGCGAGTCCATTTAGTCCATTTATTCGGTGCTGGTCAACGAGCGAGAGTGAGAAGCGAGTCCGTTCGAGCGCAAGGAAGCGTCTCGTTCGCGTAAAGACAACTTCGATTCGATTCCGCGCGCGAGTTTCCCCGTGTTTCCTTTTAAAAATACAATTACTATTACAACTACTACAACTACTATTACTATTATTACTGCTACTACTATTACTACTACTATTACTACTACTACTACTACTACTAGTAGTACTATCACTGCTACTATAACTATTAATACTATTACTACTACTACTACTACTACACTAGGAAAAATGTATTGTTGCGTGAACCAAAATTTTGTTGTAACAACAAAATTATTTGGTTAAAATATGCCCAACAAAACTGTTTAGTTCCTGTAAACAAATATCTTGTTTGATTACAGTTTGTTCGTATAACGTAATACTTTTGTTATAGCAACCAAAAAGCTTTAACTATATGAATTTTGTTAAAAATATAATTTTTTCTTAATATATAAAATCTAAATTTTAGTGCCCAGAAAGACAAAATAGTATCTATTGAGCATTATTTTAGTTTATGTAAAATAATATTTCGTTATTATGTAATTTTTATGGATAAAATAATTAAAATGCTTAATTTTTGTATATGAAGTCTAAGAAACAACAAAATCATTTGGTCTAGAGAACAAAGCAGAAAGATATATTTAGTTGAGACAACTAAATATTTTGTTATATAAAACAAGATATTTGGTTGCTATTAAAAAATACCTCAATTAAACAGTTTTGTCAGAGATACTAAATTTTTTTCCTAGTGTACTACTACTACTACTACTACTACTACTACTACTACTACTACTACTACTACTACTACTACTATTAATACTAATACTACCGTAAAGATCTAATCTGTAAGCAACATGCGAAAGCAAACTTTCCCAAGTGCATAGAGAAAACTATTGCAAATCGCATACTCGGATTAGTGCGTCGTGCGAGGATCTCGGATTGCCCAAGAACACTCTCGCATCGCTCGCCGACGCGCCTTACGCGCGATCGAATCCTCGTACGGTATTTTCTCTGCGTGAGGAAAGTATCGAGATGTGCGCGCGCGCGAAAACGCGTAGAAATTACGGAACGTGCCGGGCACGTATGCGTTAAACAAAAAAGAAAAAAAAAACAATTCCGAATGCATGCCCTGAAGCAAGTGCGGAAGATACGGACGAAACGTCGAGTCGCTTAGATGTTGCACTTTCCGTGATGTCCTATCAGCTTGATACTCTCCGAGCGGCTACTATTTTTTCGCTAAATTCGAGTTTCCGACATTGCACTACGACATTTGACTAAGATACTATTAGAGAATATTAAATTATTAATATGATTGTTATATGTGCACAGAGTGAAGATAAACGAGTAAGCGAATGAGCAAGGATTCACATGGATGTGTGTACGTGTGAATGTGTTTGCGTGTGTGATTGCCGATGCGTATGTGTATGAGAGAGAGAGAGAGAGAGAGAGAGAGAGAGAGAGAGAGAGAGAGAGAGAGAGAGAGAGAGAGAAAACGATAGAATGAAGAAGAAACGCAGGAAAGGAGAAGCAGGGATATGTATAGACGCAGAAAGCGGGCGATTTTTAATTCAAGTTACAGGGCTCGTGTTGTATAAAGTGTTTGTAAAGGATACGTTTTAAGGGCATAGAGGTAATAGTTATAATGTGATATCGATTATATTACGTACGAAATTGGGAGGATGTTATTATACTACTTACGGTTTGAGAGATACAAAGAGAAATAATATACTTGGTAGCCTGAACGCCTAAAAGCGGCCTATAGCTTTTTATTAAGCTCACAGCTGAAGACGCAGAGAAATCGACCCATAACGTAAAGAAAAGAAAAGGAAAGACCATGATAATATATAAATATATATACATATACATATACATATAAAAGTACCGTCAACGTTAATCTCGATAGAGCGAATTTTAGATTACCGAAGAAGAAAGGAGACCGCACACCGTAGCGAATTCGGCGACGAAACATAACAGGGCGGAAACGTGCCGTACGACACATTAACGCTCGTATACACGTGTAACGATACCGACACAATCGTTTACACCTTTTTGTATGATCCTGACGTTAAAGGGCGAGGAGGGCGATCCACGGTCTTGCGGCTTTTGCGCCTCGCATCGCGGCGTCACGGTTTCACGCGCGGTTGACAGCTCTCTATTATGTTTATCGACCCTTCCAGACGAACTCTATGTCTACCTGTCACATCTGCCCGATAGCAAACAGCGTGGCGCTGTCGTGGTTGCTTTCGTGTGCTCGATCGTGTTCCAGAATCTGCAGATCCACGCCCGAATTGGATTCCTCGCGCTCGGGTTTGCCCGAAGGGCAGACAGACAGCGTTTGTGGGTCGGTGCGATCGGTGCGACCCGTGTGCAGTGGGCTGAATTCCCATATCTCGGGTCTTGCGATATCGGTTACCTGTGCGGCAAGAGAATGTTGTTGATACACGCCAATTGAAAATTAACACGTACCCATTAGTTTCCAAAGAATCAGACTCGGGACGCATGCTCGACGCACGATCGCGGCACGGGGAGGACCACGTCGTCGGACGTGGATTCTCGTCTGCGCGAGACGTGCGAGAGTCGCGTCGGATGACGATAAGCGGTAGAAGTACAAAGTTAAGTTAATCGAGAAAGAAAGAGAGAGAGAGAGAGAGAGAGAGAGAGAGAGAGAGAGAGAGGGAGAGAGAGGACGATCGTGCAGATATCACGGTAGCAATTATGATTTAAATAGAGAGCGAATGAGACGAGTGGCGACGATCTTGACAGCAATGCGATCCTCCCGAGATGTCGGTCGTTAATTAGAACGGCGATGACCCCCTTTCGCGATGGAGCTTTCAGCGTTACGCTGTTACGAGAGAGGAGGAGTTTCGCGTGCATGACGGTGCTATTTCTGAACGGACGCACACTTCTTTTGCCTTCACGGGCTTTCGTTGCCGATCGTATTCGTTCTTCTTTCCGGAGAATCTCACCCACGTCAGCGACCTCATTCTTACGAGTCGAGTCTTGAGGGCGCGATAAGGAGGAAACTACAGTAAAAATCGGAAGAGATCTCGGACGGGAGTGGAGACGGAGCGTACACGGCGGAAAAAATGTTGAATTAACGTGAAAATGGACGAGGCAAACGCGTGCGTTTTCGTGGATGGGGACAGATTTCTCGGCTTTCAGGGGCAGAGTCTGCTTCGAAGAGCCGGAAGTTCCGTCTCCAGGCCCGAGACAGCACGTCTGATTCGTTCGTTGTCGCGTTGACTCGGGTGATATTTCTCCCCCGTGTACTTCACACTTCGGTCGATGCGAGCCGTGCGAAACGGAAGTCGCTGGGGACGCGCGTACGACAAATCTGCTCTGAGAAAGACCTCTCGACGAATGCACTCGGCGATGAGTCGTCCTCGGGCGAATTTAGCGCTCGGCGGATCGCCGCTTGAAAAACAGAGTCGGGCTGCTTCGTGACGTTGAACGATAAATGGAGAAATGTGTACGAACTGCGGGAAAAGTGGGGAACGCGCCGTGCCGGGGCACTTTACAGCGTAATGTGCAGAGCACGAAAAGGATTAGTCTGTCAGTCGAGCGGCGAAACAGCGCGAAAGCGGATTAGCGGCGGCGAATCGCGTGATAAGTCGAAGGTCGTGCCGGACTTGGCCCCGAGGGCTCGAAAGCGCAGCGGCAGCTGTGCTATCGGCGTAATTTATGCTTCGTAATATACTACGGGACGGGACAAACATAACCAACGCCGCGCTGTCGGGGGGAGGAGACCGATCGGTCGCCGATTTCGGGACGTCGCGGTCGGTCGTCGGAAGCGCCTTCGACTTGCGAGATTCATTACTTCCGCGCGCGATATTCCGCCCGGATCTCGATGGCGCTCGTGCGAAAAAGTTATATTCGACCGACGATATCGGCATCGAGATAGAGCACGACCCTCGCGATACGGAATCGCCACGCTCGCGCCCGCGATAGGGGAACGCACCGGGGGATGATCGAGTGCAGCCAGCATGGCGTGTCGTTGATTCGTTCGACATTATCGCGCGCGCGACTCTGCGATCGTTTTTTATACGCAGAGGAACACCGCGGCTTGTAATTTAGAACATCATATAAGGACATGACCGTCTGATCCGATTCTTGTGTTGTCGAATTGTCAGGACGCACGCAGGCATATTCGCGCAGAGTGTGATGAGAGCAAGCGAGCATGGGAGAAAGAACGAGGGAAAGAGAGGAGGAAGGGGGGGATATTTATTTATGTGCATGCGTAACGCACGTACGTAACTTTCAGTTTGACAGGCGAACGCGACGAGACGAAGCTCGTGCTCTTGAAAGAGATGGAAATTGCTCCACAGCTTGGCTAAGAAATGCGTCGAGATTGGGATGCGAATTTTTGTTAACTCTGTTATCACGCGTGGAGGGGGCGAAATATTATCGAGACAAGAAAAGAAAGGGAGGAACAGCATGAAGATCTCATTAGCGTCATTAGTGTCAGCGCATTCTCAATTCAAAATAATGTATAATGATTATTACGATGGATTCTGCTTGATTTTTGAGGGCGCCAGAATACATGTACACACGTACATACACCTACACACACACACATATATATATATATAGAAGGTTCTGAAAATACAATTATTGTTTTATATTTACAAAAGCTTCATTTCCAAACGAGTGGCTTTCGAGACTTTTATTCGCGCGGCAAGAACGAACTTACATTGTTACGATATGTATAGGACCCTTTTATATTTTTATGTGGATGCAATACACTGTACTGTTTAGCGTTGATGGTAGCTGTTAACTTTAACGAATACACGGAATATCTGTCGCGCGCTCGTAGAAACGCTCCGAACTAGATCTTAAGCGCAATTGAGCTTAAGCATTGAGAGCATTTAGTTGATTTCGTACTTTTTAACGTAGCTTTTGAGAACCGTAGAGGAATTTTTACATCCCGACGAAAGTCGGTAGAGGTAATTAGAGCCGAGCACGCGACGACGATCGAAACGATCCCGTAATCTTCGACGCGAGTAGTTTAACAAAGAAACGAAGGAAAAAAAGAGAAAAGGACAGTGAACGACGAATCTGTTCTCAGCACCTCGATTGATCGTGCGATCTTTGAGAGCGCCCGTCGCTCTCTTTCCGCCGATTCAGCGCGATATTGTATAATTGTCACAATTATAACGTGAATATAATAATAATA